TTTCTGGCTATAAAAGAGAACAGTGCCAAAACAAGTACTCTGTATTATGCTTTTTTTTTTTTTTTAAGATGGAGTCTGGTTCTGTCACCCAGGCTGAAGTGCAGTGGCATGATCGGGGCTCACTGCAAACTCCGCCTTCTAGGTTCAAGTGATTCTCTTGTCTCAGCCTCCTGAGTAGCTGGGATTATATGTGCCCACCACCATGCCCGGCTAATTTTTTGTATTTTTAGTAGAGACCGGGTTTCACCAACTCCTGACTTCAAGGGATCCACCCACCTCAGCCTCCCAAAGTGCTAGTATTACAGGTGTCAGCCACTGCTCCTGGCCAGTATTAGTAATATCTATTGAGAGCTTACTATATGCAAGCTCTCACACCATTTGTATGTAAGCTCTATGTATTCATGAGAAAACACGTAGGGCTGAATAACCTATCCAATGTCAAGCAGCAAGTACAGGGAGAGCTGAGGGTCACACCCTGCTGTCTGATCCAGATCCTTGCTATATACCAGCCTCATGACCTCAGGACACCCCACTTCATTCTTTGGGGCCCATTTTCCTTACCTGTGAAATGAGGGAATTGAATCAGACATATAAGATCTTCTTCCAGCTCATACATCTCTATTTCCTTATCTCTGCATACAAATGGTGCTCCACCAGGTCCTCCTAGGTGTATCCACCAGCACCGCCTGCTTGGATTCTGGGTGCCATCCATGCTGTGGGCCTGGGAAAGAGAGTTGGGCCTGGCTGAACTGACAGTGCTCCTGAGCGCTGGCCTGAATTGCGGGCCTTGGACTCAGCACTCACTCACGCTGGACAGATGCGGTGTCCCTGTGCTAGACCCTTCTCCTGACTTTCACTGCCGGTGGCAGAACACTTGAGAGAGCGCCGTCACTCTCTGCCCTCCCCAAACGGCCTTTACTCTTCAACCACACTCACCCCTCTACCTACCTAAGTATCTCAACTGTCTTAACAAAGTCTACTCGCACTCTGACATGACCCAATCGAAAAGGCAACGGATAAAAAGATTCAAGTTGATATTCTCATTACACTTCCGTCTCCCGGACTCACAGAATTTCTTCTCACTTGTGAATTTCCTCATGAGTCCAGGCAGTGGTAGGCTGGTAAATGCTTAACACCTAGCTCCAGGAAAACACAAAAAGCTCTGTAATATGAGTCATGTTCTGAGTTCTTCAGTTTAAATGTTTCCACCATGGCTGATGTCAAGCTACCAACGCAAAGTCACCGAACACAAGTGGAAAAGAGATGCGAGCCAGGACACGCTGGTGCCAGCACAGCACTGCGTCCGTTTCACACTACTACATCCTCTGAAAGCCGATAGCCAAAAGCATTGCTCACTCATTTGTTCTTTAATTCATTCAACGAACTTTTTTAAAAGTATAGGAATTGAAATGACATTTATTAAGATAGTTATTTATTACAAATCAAAAGCCCTGCTAGTCTTATTACAAAGCATTATTTTTTCCAGTACTTCCCTCAGAGGTTCCTTAGGTGGAAGGGTGATTCTTCTGCTTTAAAATAATTGACTTACCCAAATCAGATGCGATTATTTGCGTCTCTTGGATTAGCAATTCTCATTAACATCCTTAACCTTTCCAGGTGACATCAGAATAGCTTTGATTGATATACAGAGACCAACATCAGAATAGCTTTGACTGATATATAGAGTCCAACCTGCTTTATTGTTGAAAGTTTACAAACCCAATGCAAAAAAAAAAAAAAAAAAAAAGTCACCTCTGGAAAATGCTTACCTAGACATATACTTTCTATAATTCATTTTCTCTATATTATTATATTCAAGATACACGTGGTATGTGACGAGTATGAACTCTGGAACCTGAATGCCTGGATCCTAATCACAGTTCCACCAACATTAGCTGTGTAATCTTGGTCAAATTACTTAACCTCTCCATGTTTTGGTTTTCTCACATTGAAACAGGATTCATAATAATAGCAGTAGCTGTTGTAAGGGTTAAGCAAATATACATACATACATTTGTATGTTTGTATACAGCATATAGAAAGTTCCATGTAACTGTTAGCAGTTATGTGTCATCAAACACGATCAGGCTGTCTAGGCATCTTTCCAACAAGATGGTGCGGTCCTTGAAATCGTTTTGCAGTCCCTCCACAGTGCCTAGCATACATGACTTTAGTGAAATCCTGTTGAAAAAGTAATTAATTGATTAAATGCAACTGATCAATGCAAAATATCCTTGCCACAAATAAACCATCTATTCTATTATAAGGATCTTAGGCATACTTTATGTCTCCATAACCCCTCCAAAGGCAGGGAAGGTGATCAAGAATAAGGGCATGGCTGGGCGCAATGGCTCACACCTGTAATCCCAGCACTTTGGGAGGCTGAGATGGGTGGATCTCTTGAGGCCAGGAATTTGAGATCAGCCTGGCCAACACGGTGAAACCCCATGTCTACCAAAAAATGCAAAAATTAGCCAGGCATGGTGGCACATGCCTGTGGCCCCAGCTACTTGGGAGGCTGAGGCACGAGAATGGCTTGAAACCAGGAGGCAGAGATCATGCCATTGTATTCCAGCCTGGGTAACAGAGTGAGACCCTGTCTCAAAAAAAAAAAAAAAAAAAAGAATAAAGGCATGGAGTAATTTTCAGAGCTGTCAGCATGTATTTATGTTCAAGAGTGCTTATTTTATATTAGCAAGAAAAAATAAAAGCAATGTAAATGTTCATCAACAAGGGAAAGTGAATAAATTATGATGTAACCATTAGATATTTATGTTTTCAGGAAGCATTATTAACATGAAAAAAGTCCTAATTGTAATAAGTGAAAAAGCAGCATTTAAAGTCATATAAACAATATAATACTTTACATTCTTTAAAAATGTGTTTGCATAAAGAGAGAAATAAAAAAACTTACAATAAATATGCCACAATCATTAATAGCTATCTCTGGTTGGTGGGATTCAGGTCGATTTTTAAATTTTTTCCTTCTTGATGTATTTCTGTATTTTCTAGTTTTTTCTAAAATGATAAACAGAAAAGAACTGCTGTTAAATAAAGGAATTGCTGTTAAAATGGGGGCACTAATTCCAACTTTGGAATTACATATCCACCCAATCTGATGTTACTCACTGCCACCCATCCCCGTCCCATTCTCAGCCTCCCAAAATGTCCCAAATCTGACATGATGGCGTAATCTATGCATTGCAAATATGATACCATCATCCAGCTATTTGGAGGAATTAATAATTACCTTAATTTTTTACACTCCATTCAGGTATCTGGCATTGGGTAAATACAGTTAACCTCACGTAGACATATTTTCAGCTATTAAAAACCAAGCACATTTGTGTTATCTCCTGCCCTGGAGGTGCCTGATACAAGGGAAGCATGATTGAGTACCTTACTGATAAGGCTGAACAAATATGTCTTTTGAAATAGACTATAGGAAAACCTCAGATTGGAGATGCCTGATGCACATTAAAGTCTAGCTAAATTTGGGTAAAAGGTGGGTCCCGATTTAATGAAGTGCTCATTCTGGAATATTTGTTTTTAAAAAGCCACTTGTATTACTTTCAAATCCAATAGGCTTGAAGCACAGTATTGTCGACACGGAGGTAGCAAGTACACAGCAGCCCCCACTTTTAGGAATAGGTGAGAATTATTTATAACGAGCCGATCAGTCAACTATGATTTGGTCCCTCTGATGCGTTTAAGAACAAATTATTCAAGATAAAGAAAAAAGCAACTTATTCCCATAAGTGGTGTAATTTTTTGCAATCTTATTTTTATTCTTAATTTGCTTACCTGTACCATTCCTCAAGGCAATCTCAGGCCAAAGCCTATCTAAAGCATCATAAATTTCAAACAACTGAGCTAAATCAATAAGGTTTTATAGGACATCTTAAAGAAAAAGAAGAAAAGGCATTACTTCACTAAATGTAGCTGGAGAAATGCACAGAAGTTATTTCTGTCCAGGCTCCCTCGCTATGGATGGAGGAACCAGACAGATCTATTTTCATTCATAAGGAGCATCTCAAAACCTGGGGCACATCATGGGATGCAATCAGCCCCAAGGAAGAGGAAACAGGAGAGCCGCTTGGCAGCCCCTGCGATACTTTAGGGGAAGAAATTATTAATAACGAGGAACATTTTACTGTGGATCAAAGTGTGTTCCCTCTGTTGGTGAGTCAATGATTTCATGGAAATCATTTATTTACATTAGATTTGTTAATTGCCCCATTTACCTACTGGGTATTGTTCTTCTCCATGGCACGTATCATGAACACATATACTTGACTTTATTATTTTTATTTTGTCTATCTCCCCGAATCCAAAAGCAATCTCCTTGAAGGAATGGGTTTTTTGTTTGTTTGTTTGTTTGTCTGTTTCACTATGGTTTCACTGGATGCATTTAGAACATGCCAGTATGTTGGAGGTAGACAACAAATATTTGTTGAATGAATCAAGCTCCCATATACTCAAGGGGCATATGTCTACGGTGAAGTAGAGAGAGCACTGAATTCAGAGTCTGAAGTAGAAAGCACTTCGTTTGGCTCATATTAGACATGAAATGACCATTTTGGAAGTGGACAAATGGGTGGATGGATGGATGGACAGATGCATGAATGGATAAGTGGGCGATGGAGCAATGTTATAATGGTAACTGCATCTGTAAAATGAGTATAACAACTCATTAATAAAACTGTGAAAACAGTTGTGACATCTTGGTTGCTCAGTAACTCCTTTATTTTTCTTGTAGCTGATGTAGAGAAAGAAAAAACAGGGTGATGAAAACCCTAGCAGTGTAAAACAAGGAAAGAAAGCATTTAATCTGAGTAGATGAGAGGAGACAGAGATGTGAGCAGAGGTGTCTGTTTTCACTCTGTCTTACAGTGCTCCCAAACCATGGTAGTGTTTGCGCGGAGGCTGCAAGAGGCAGGGAAGTGGAACAGGTGGACAGGCTGCTGGCTTCCAGGGAAAACCAGCCTTCAAGGTTTCACCTCAGTGGCCTCCTGGAGCTGAGAGGCATTAGACGGTCAGGAACAAGGTGACGACAGTCCTCCATAGTCACTCTGGTCTCTGGGGTCTCACGTCTGGTCATTACATCTCCAGGGTAGTCCAGCCTGGCGTATTTGTTCTTAACGTTGCTCTTCCTGCTACAGGAGAGGAAGCCTTCACTGAGCAGGCTGCCTTGCTTGATCCTTCCGGACTTGCAGTGTGGCTGGCTCTGGCATCTTCTGAGTGCGGCAGCATCTTCTCTGGGGTCAGGGTGGGGTGGGCCAGGATGCCTCTGAACATATCCACTTCAGGTCCAGATAGCTGGGGTTGCTGGTGCTCTTGGAGATATTTCTGGTCCTGGGAAGCAGAGGAGAAGTGAGATCATTATTAACCCGCGTGGGAGTGGGTCCCTGGTGACCTGACTCTCTTGGTTGGCCGTCCCCCTTCCTAGTGATGGTGTCCTAGGCAAACAAGCTAGGGCAAAAAGGCAGAAGAGAACCACAGGCCAGCAGTGCGGTGGGCCTGGACCTTTTCAATAGTCACAGACGGGTCTGCAAGGTGTCCCAGGGCCTAGGGACGCAGTCCCTCCTGAGGAACTCTGAAATCCCCACTGGTAGCACACTGGGGTAGCCTGGCTGCGGATGGAGTTTTTCCCCTGCTGTTGTCGCCTCAGGCCTACACCTAAAGTGCTCCAGAGCTGTGCCCAATGCTGCGATGTGCTGAAAAAAGTCCCCTTGTTTGGGGACCTTGGCCCATGCTTCCTTATTAATTGGTTCAAGAAGCCAACTTTCTTCTGCTACCGATAAGAGACCGTCAGGGTCCCCTAGGCACCAGCCATCGATACTGTGCATGTGGATTGCTCTAAATATCCATTGCTGCAGGACATTTGGATATCTAAATATCCAAGCCCTGGCACAGGAGCTGCTGGGAAACCCCAAATATGCCTTCTTCTCAGAGCTCTGCTAACACAAGCTCTCCTGTGTCAGGAGGTGACATTCCTGCCTCTGTCCACAGGAATGGGAAAGCTGCACAGATGTCCTAAAATACAGAAAGGATGAGAGAACAGCACTGAGCTTGGCTGGTTTCCCACCTGTAATCGACATGGAAACTACACCTTTTAATCTCCAACAGGCAAAACGACTCCTGCCACGATGTGCAAGATCTGTGGCTCCAGCTTCCTCTGTGCCTTTTTGTGGTCGTCGTCCCAAGGAACAGTTTGTGGAAATGAATGTGCCACCCTAACTTCCACAGGGTCACCTCTGTCCCTAAGTCTCTTAGGTGCTCAAATCTTGACCCCTGGGAGCAGTGGCCAGCACCATGGTAAACCAGACAAGGCAAATGGAGGGAAAGAGTGAATTGAGGAAGAGATCTGAAAACTGCTTGCAAGTGAAGCCTGTGTATAGTTCCATGCCTAACTAAACCCGTTCTTCTGGCAGTGCTGCTGAAATCCAGAACAAGAAGAGAAGACCCACAGCAGGTTCCAGGGAGAGGCAGTTGGGGCTAACCGGTGCTCGGGGGAGGGGTGAGGGAAGCTCTCGACCACATCACCGGGTGCCCCCCTAACACATGAGAGGACAGGGGACCCATGCACTCGACTCAACTGTGGGAGTTTTGTGTTCCAGCTACCAATGGGGAAGGGACCCAGGTCTCTCTGAGGGTGTGGGTAATCATGTGACCCCCTCATTCTCCCTTCCCACTGCTCACTCTGAGGTTCAGTAGAAATAGTAAATGGAGATATCCTATGACAAGCTCAGCCATGCTTCTCTCCAACCTCACACACAGCGCACCCCACCAGGATTCAAGCTGGCTGAGTCCCATAACACTTGCCACCATTCACTGATGTGGCCCAAGTGCCTAGAACAATGCCTGGCACTTAGTAGGTGCTTAATAAACAGTTGCTGAATACATGCACCTACTGAACTCCTCCTATGTGCCTGACACTATGCTAAAAGCTTGACAATTACTATTCCATTTATTTTTCACAAGAATCTTGTCAGGTAAAAATGTCAACCCATTTTCAGATGAGGAAACCAAAGCTTGGAGATGTTGAGCAAATTATTCAAGGTCCCACCGCTTGGCGTAACAGGAAGTTAAACCTGTCTCCTGCCCTTTCCTGCTGCTGTCTCCAAAGACTGAGCTCCTAAACATAGCATTTTGCTGCTTTTCTCTCCCATTATTCAAGGCCAGAAACAGGAACCAGAACATGCCAAGGAAAGAGGAACTGAGAGTGAGCTGGATTTTCACACCCCCAGCCCTGGCAACTGCCTCTTGGAGCTGGGCCTGGGGCCAAGTGGCCGGGAGGAGGCAAGTCTCCTGCAAGGCTCCAGCTGAGTGGCCCATGACCTTGAGATTCTACCCATCAAGTTGCTTCCCTCCCTCCTCTCCGACTCTTGGCCCCATCTTTCAAAAGAATAGGGTCAGAAGGGATGGTGCATGGAAGCACAATTTCAAATTATACTTCTTAGGTGAGGATATGTCACAGATCACACCTCATCATTTCATTTCAGGTTTCTTTGTTGATCCAAGATAGTTGCATACAGCTGCCTTTAAAGTGGGTCAGTAAGTCCTTCACGATGAATAACCTCACTGTGCGTGTGTGTGTGTGTGTGTGTGTGTATGTGTGCGTGTTCCTTCAGAGTAGATTAGCTGAATCCACCTGGAATTATGCCAGCAGAGCTTTTAAACAAATATCTCTGTGCAGCAAGTTGCTTCAGCATATAGCAGGTGACACCTGTGGGTGGGAATGTCCTACCAGGAGAAGATGCTACACCTCCAGGGAGTTTTCCACTGTGAGGCTTGAAGAAATCAAGCCCCTCTTCAGTCTCTGGAAACCTACTCGTGATTCAATCTGAGCCTTCATGGGCTGGATAATCCCAAAAAGCATATGGATCAGGAAAGAACTGGAAATGAAGCATTCCCAGAAGCTGCAAGGTTTCTCAGTGTCATTCAGTCAACCAGGTAGCCTTAGGGAGCATCCCTTGAGAGGCATGGAGAGTGTGAAATTGTGGCAGACCCCACCCTCCCTGACCTGCCATCCAGTTAGGGAGACGCCCAGTGCATACCCAGCAAGCCACCCACGCAGGGATTGGCCATGAGGACAAGGAGTGTTCAGGGGCCGGAGAGGCTCCCCAAGGGCTGGGCTTTCTGGAAAAGCTTGGGGAAGAGATGGAAAACACTCACTGCCTTGCAGAATGGCTCAGGAAGGTGGAGAAAGGAAGAGCCCCGGGAGCGATGGGGACACTTTGTACGTGTATGACAGGAGCACACTCCCAGCTCAGTGACTGAGGCTCGGATTGGGCAGACTCAGCAGGGCAGCTGTTGGGCACGCAGCTACTCCTGCTTGCTCCTCCATGGCATGGGCACCCAGAGCTGCCCCACAGGCTGCTGAGTTATGTCTTTTAAGCCAACACTTGGCTTTTGCCCTGAACTAAGCTTCTGACTGGCTTTGGGAAGGATTACTATGGTATTTCCAATCCTACATACAGCATCTTTGTGATCCAAACCAAAAGTGCTTTTGGCTCAAGTCTCACAGGTCCCCAAACCCACCCATCACTGGTATTCTTTCTCCTTTGGGCATCTCAAATTTGCATTTGCTTTTCTATGTCATTCGCCACTGTGGCCCCAGCTGGTCTTCATAAGAAACTCATTCACTAAAAGATATGAAAATGTGCACACCCTTTGACCCGTTAATTTCATTTTTCAAAATTACCATTGACTGACTTTTCTCTTCTATTTTTTTGTTTGTTCATTCAGTGTGGACAGGAGATTTGCTAGGTGCTGGGCTACACAATGATAAGCAAAAAGAAACTCAAGGCCCTGACAGAGCTTGTAGTCTAGGTCATTTGTTTGTTTTTCTCCTAAATACATAGGCTCTACAGGCACATCTGTTGTACTCTGGGAGAGAGTATACAGTCACTGTATCATCCCATAAAATAAAAGCCCACTGACTACACTGCAGACACAAAATGACAGTTGTAGAGAGAATAAAAAGGAAACTTTCAGGTTAGGTTTTCAAACAGTGTGCCATACCCCAAGAGCCTCAGGGGTGGGCTGGAACTGGGTGGCGTGTGGGCACTAGCAGAGACAAGAAGGAACACTCATTTGTGTATCACCTGAGGGACTCTCCTGTTCCCAGCACCCCACCCACCTCTCCAACCAAGCAGTTATTTGTCTTTTTCTCCATGGTACTGGGGGTTTCCTAGTAAGATCTAATACTATTTGAACAGAATATTCTGTGACTGAAAAAGTTTGAAACCACTGTTCGTCTCAAGGTTCTTAAAGTGCTTCTATATTTAGTCTGGAAATCTTCCGGACTGGACGATTTCCCTCACCTCACCCCAATTCCCTTTAAATTCTCTAGCTTTTAATGTTTCATTAATGGGCTTTAACGATACCTGATACATGTTGGGTGTGTAATTAATGGGCAATAATACACGGACATGGACACAATAAGTAACAAAATCTCATCAACCATGCAAACATGCCGGACACTCAAAGTCCTCAAACAATTTTGCTCTACATTTAGCAGAGGGAAAAACTACCTTAGTAAGGAACACATCAAAAACAACAAAAATGTAACCAGTTTTACCAGTTTGACATGCATCCTAGATGGTGTTATTTGGCATTTTACATACTGTTTGCTAAGTTTCCACAATGTGCTAGATGGCAATCTCTCTGCTCTAATTCTTGAGCCAATAGATTCTATATCTACACTTTTATCATTCACATACCATCACTGCAATGATTTTTTAATAATATCTGAAGGCCATTTGTACTACTAAATATTTAATGTAAACAGTTATTTTGTATTTAAATAAATTTACTTTAAAAGAAAATTTTTATATCACGTTATATCACTACCTATAAATAGAAGACCAAAAACATTTGCCATCATAGGAGGTAACTGTAACAAATTCATAATAACGAAAACAGTAATGTTTCTGTGCAGCATTTACTATCCCCTTTGGTTTCACCAGGGATATGGACACTGTTTTTGAAACATTGTTTGAGCTCATACCATCACAGTATTCAGCTAAGAAACCAAAAGTAGGTGTTGTTTGTCTTTGTTCCCTCCACCTAAGCCTACAAACCCCCAGCTACCTGCAAACCCACACCCCCCTCCCCTCTAAGCATTCCCTTGCTCTAAGCTATCCCACAACTAGTCCTTGTTAAGGTATTAAATCATCACCTTATCATTTTTGCATGTGGATAAGAGACAAATCTTTCAAAACTCAAATATCAGATCTTTATTGGAATTTTGGATATAATGCAAGAGAACTGTATCATTTAATTCAAAGCACATGCAACAGGTGATCAACTAGCCACTCCTAGTCACAACCCAGTCCTCACGGCTCCCC